CCAGGTTGCCCAGGCGGATGCCTAGCATGAGGATGTGTTGAGAATGTCTCGAGAGATACGCTTGTTTTCACGTGTCCAGGTCGCCCAGGCGGATGTCTAACATGAAGATGTGTTGAGGATGTCTCGAGTGAGACGTTTGCTTTCACGTGTACAGGTCGCCAAGGCGGATGTCTAGAATGAGGAGGTGTTGAAAACGTCTCGAGCGAAACGCTTGTTTTCACGTGCCCAGGTCACCCAGGCGGACGTCTCACATGAAGATGTGCTGAGGATGTCTCGAGCGAACTACTTGTTTTCACGTGTCCAGTTCGCCCAGGCGGATGCCTAGCATGAGAATGTGTTGAGGATGTGTTGAGCGAAACGTTTGTTTTCACGTGTCCAGGTCGCTCGGGCGGATGTCCAGAATGAGTATTTTGACAGGATGTCTCGAGCGAAACGCTTGTCCCCAGCACGTTCCGTAGCGCGTCCCTTTGGCACGTCCCGCGGTGCGTCCCCATGGCACGTCCCCTGGCATGTCGCCTGGCGCGTCCCTTGAGACGTTCCGCGGCGCGTCCTCCTGGCATGTCCCCCTGTCAATTAGCTCTGCGGCAGATACTATGTGTTCAGGCAGCTCGAGCTTAAGATCCAGATCAGTTCGGTCAGGACTCGGATGCAAAGGAGGAGTCGATCCACGACGCTATAGAGCACAACCGCGGCATGGCACATCGCAATTCAGCACGGTGCAGCACAGCACAGACTTCGGCACGGTACATCAAGATTGATACAATCAGCATTGCAATTTGGCACGTTCTTTGGCTCGTTCCGTGGGGCGTCCCTTGGCGAGTCCCCCTGGCACGTCGCATGGCGCGTCCCCTGGCACATTCCGTGGCACATCCATTGGCACGTTCCGTAGCGCGTCCCCTTGGCACGTCCCGCGGTGCGTCCCCATGGCACGTCCCCTGGCATGTCGCCTGGCGCGTCCCTTGAGACGTTCCGCGGCGCGTCCTCCTGGCATGTCCCCCTGTCAATTAGCTCTGGGGCAGATACTATGTGTTCAGGCAGCTCGAGCTTAAGATCCAGATCAGTTCGGTCAGGACTCGGATGCAAAGGAGGACTCGATCCACGACGTTATAGAGCACAACCGCGGCATGGCACATCGCAATTCAACACTTTGCATCACAGCACAGACTTCGGCACCGTACATCAAGATCGATACAATCAGCATTGCACTTGCCCGTCACCCAATCAGGTGTCTTTGAAAACGTTGCCATGCGTTACATTTCTATATTCCTTTCCGGGTTCGTGGGTCGAACGTGTTCTCTCCTGGCCCCCCGCTTGCCCTGCGGTGCGAACGTGCAACGCCTTCGCTACTGCTGCGCCGCCAGCCCGGCGAACCACCCTGGCTCCCGGTCCGCCACTGTCGTTTTTTTGCGCAGTCCTTCCTGCTGCCACACCGGCTCCAACTCAGGCGAGTGGGTTTGCCGTGGCCTTTGCAGCTCTGGGCTCCGTCCTTCCGACTCGCTTGCTCTGCAGCCGTGGCCTCGACCCGCACAGCAGGCGCTGACCCCACCCTCGGGTGCGTTCGTGATGCCGTCCCGCGCCATCTGCCAGGGTCTGCTACACCGGCTCGGCCGCCCCGCGCGCCCCGTTGCGGCCTCGCCGCGTGAGTGCGCTTGCCCCCCCTTTTCGCCTCCCCTCCGCGGCCGGTCCTCTTCTCTTCCCCTCTTATCGCATGCGGGACAATTCGCAATACCGCGGCCTGGGTTGCTTGGACGCGCGTGCGCGCTGCTTTTGCCGCGCTGCGACGCAACGAAGTTTTTGTTGTCGCCCCCCCCGCGGCTCACCCGCGACCCACCCAGCGACCCACCCGCGACCCACCCCGCGCCGGCCCCATCGCTCCGATCCGCACTCGAGGGTGTTACGAAGAAGAAGGACTGCCAGAATAAGTTCAAGATGCGTCGACGGTGCTGCCGCGCACCTTCCCGTCTCACGGAGCAGCCGCGAGAATCCTCACAGCCCTGCCTTGTTGTTCGGAGAAAGGCGTCCCCTCCTGGAAGGGCGAGCGCCCCATGGGCCTGCTGTTCGGGCGACGGTTTCGTTTCCTGAACAGGAATTGGCACGCGTCTGTCTACAGGGTGTATGTGAGGGCCGCGGCAAGTCAGGGCCATGAAGTGAAGCGATGTGTCGAGCGTCCGTCCCGTTTTTTTGTTCAAACGGCCAGCCTTCCGATCCACGCAAGTATTGAACAGTACTGCATTCGTTGCAAGCAGGTGTGGTAACATCAAGCGCGAAACCACCATGTTGGACAGGAATTGCCACCCACCGCTGCAGTTGCTAAACAGGTATGTTTGTTTGCTTTGAATGTGGGAAATATCCAGCGTTAGCCATACGTTGACACGAACATATGTTGAACATGTGTAAAACGAGCGTGCGCAGAGCGAGGGCGATACGCCCTTGTTGGAAGCAGTCCGCCCTTTATCTTTGCATTTCCCGGGAACCGTGCAGGCGAGAGCGCGCGGGGCCAAGGCGACAACGCAATGTGCCAAGGAGCCGCCCTCCACCCTCGGATTGAAAACGATGCCCCTCCATCCGTGCAGCCTAATCCGGGCGATCACGGCGACCGCGCGCAGTTCCAGGGCGAGAGCCCCAGTTCGGAAGCTGCCCTTTTTCCATCAGGCCCGCCCTGCCGACCCGTCTTGCGGGAGTTATCTGCAAAGGGGAGGAGAAGTTCGGGTGCCACGAACACTGGGATGATGGTGGACTGGGGGAGGGGGAATGCCCAGCGAAAGGTGCAGCTTGAGGATGGGAATGGACTGGGGGAGGAAGGGACGGAGAAGGGGGTGGGAGGAAGGCCGCAGGAGGGAGGGAAGGAGGAGGACGACGACGATCATGAGGACCAGGAGCCTGAGGAGGATGCGCATGTCATGCGGATGGGCGAGCGCCGGTAGAGGGAACGCATGGAGGATGAGCAGGAATGGGCGTGGAAGGAACTTGCTTGCTCGCAGCGCTGGCGAACGCACAGCGCGGTCGGAGCCTACGCGGGGACGTTGCAAGGTGCAGTGTGCACAAGGGGACAAGTGAAAGGGGCATGAAGTGGGAGAAAGGATATAACAATGGGGGAGGGGTGGAGCAATGGTGAAGGGCATGGTGAGGGTGAGCGAGGGTAGAGGAGAGCGAGGTTGGGGTTTGGAGGGGGAGGGGGAGACGGTGGAAAGCCCAGAGGGATGAAAGGAAGATGGCCAGGAGGGAGGAGGGAGTGATTGAGTTTGGGGAGGGACGGAGGAAGGTGGAGAAGGACGAATCCAGTTGCCTTCGGCAAGTCACGCCGCCGTGCCGACGCAGCGCTCTGTGTAGCGACTTCTCAGCGCAGCCGAAAAAAACAGTCACACGTGCCAAGCATCGCCCCTAGCAGGAGGATAATGGATAGGACGAACAGAAGGATAACACTGATGATGCTGCTGCTGCTGCTGCTGATGATGATGATGATGATGCTGATGATGATGATGATGATGATGATGATGATGATGATGATGATGATGATGGCCGTGATGATAAGGATGGTCGTGATGATAAGGATGATTGTGATGCTGGTGGTAGCGATGATGATGCAGATGATGATAATGATGATGACGATCGTGCTGCTGATACTGGTGATGATGGTGGTGATGGTGATTGTGATGGTGATGGCGGTGGTGATGATGATGGTGATGATGATGATCATCCTTATCATAATTATGGTCATGATCGTGATGGTGATTATGATGGTGACGCTGACGGTGATGCTAATGGTGATGTTGATGATTATGGCGATGCTGATGCTGGTGATGATGGTGATGGTGGTGATGGTGATGGTGATGGTAATGCTGCTGACGTTGATGATGATGGCGATACTGATGATGTTGATGATGATGATCACGAGTTTGGTCATGGTGATGGTGGTGGGGATAATGATTTGTTTGGCGATTCTGGTGGATGCTATTGTTGAGGAGTTGAATGGCATTGTCATGATTATGATGACGGTGCCGATGATGTTGATGATGGCGGCGGTGGTGATGCCGAGGATGTCGATGCTGATACTTATTGATGTTGATGCAGACTTTGTCTTACTGATGATGATTATGGTGATGGCGATGATGACGATAACAACGATTCAGGAGGAGGAGGAAGAGGAAGAGGAGGAGGAGACGGACGACAAGGGCGAGCCATCACCTGCGACACTGATCGTCCCCTGAAGGAGCACTAGGCATACGATTAGCGCTCAGCTGGTGCCTTTTCAAAGACAACATCCACTGATCACACCGTGGGCTGACAAGACCAGGGAAATCAACACATCGAAGTAGTATTGTACCTCAAACCTTTCGCCAATCTTGCGTATGCCCAGGTCCCTCACAAGACATGCACGACAAGCCCCTTCACAAGTGCTGTTGCTCAGGTTCCTTAGGAACGGGGAGCGCCAACAGACGTGAACCCAAGTGTTTTGGATGTCTTTGGGGGCTCCCTTGGGCCGTCTTGAGCCTCACTTGGAGGCCTCTGAAGAGAAGACGTCTTTGGCTGACAGAGGCTAGGAATTATGTGAGTGCCAGAGATAGACACTATATTCAGGAACGTCAGAATGGCTTTGTTATCCTCGGGTCTTTTTGGAGGCTCTCTTGGAGACTTCTTGGGCCGTATCGAGGGTCTCTCAGGCCGTATTGAGGCCATCTTCCGCCGTTTGGGGCCATCTTGGCACGTGTTGGAACCATCTTGGGCCTCCTTGGTGGCGTTGGTGGCTTGCACGGGCCGTCTTGGAAGCCATCTTGGGTATCCTGGAAGCTTTGGAGAGACCCAGGGAGACGCTGGAGCGCCCAGTGGGGGAGGAGATGCATGCGCCACTTTGCTAGGAGGGGGGTGGCCTTCAGAAGACTACGGAACGCCCACCAGAACGTCGCCTCAACGTGCCAGGGGAAACGGTGGCGGGTAATAAATGGAAGGGGTTACGGAAGGAAGGCGAGGGTGAATGGACAGGGACGCCCAGGCTCGCATGCATGCGCGAAGTCCACGAAGGCGGTGTCGTCAGCTGTTTCTGCGACGTCAACTGCGGCGAGTGCAGGATGATGTGCCCCAAGGCCACCGACCTCAAAGGGGCCCTCCAGGCGGTCATCCAGGCTTGGAGGGAGGGAGGCGAAGGTGAAGGGAGGCGCGGAAGGTTCGCGTCATATTGACGCGGCGGCGACCCTGGCGCGGGTAGTGAAGGTTGAACGACGCCAGCGGCTCAGGATCGGCCAGGATCGAAAGGTTTGCGCCATCGGGAAGCCGCGATCGTTCAAGGGTGAACGCTCCACACGGTATCCGAATTCAGCGCGCGAGTCTTGACGACACGAGCCGCAGGGAGGGGAAACGACGGGCGAGTGTCGGAGGAGTGAGTGCGGAGGGAGGAGCCTCGATCGACATGAGCATGCGCGCGCCTCGCCACAACGCCGGCATCCAATCTCATCACCCCCTCTCACCCCCTTCCCCCTGGTTCCCCTTAGTTTCTTGCAGCTGCTGCACCTCCTCCGGTTGATACCAGAATTCGAGTTTTCGCGAGGAGTTGGCGGGAGCACTAAAGTTCTGTGCTCCTCGAATTTCCACAGGGGTGTGAGCCGAGTCGTTTTTGGGCGAACCTCGCAAATCTATCAGTATTCGATCCCCGCAAATCTGGAGACGACCCAAATCGACTTGCCCACCCTGCCCCGGCTATAGTTTCCGTGGTGCAGCTCCTTGCAGGCGGCATTGAGCAAGGACGAATTCGTCGTGCGCGGGGCGCTGATATCCGTCGACGCGGGCTGCATCGCTGATACGCAGGTGTTGCGGGAGGTGCTGCTGGAGTTGGATGATGTGTTTTGTTGTTTTCCTTTCGGGCAGCAGGGAATGATTGGAGAGGCCGCGCGCCATGGCAATCTTATGATCAACGTATTATTATCCAATTGCCCGCGGCAAGTTCCGCAATTTTTCCAGCCCAGCATCGAAATGTGTTGGTAATGGCTCGGGATGGTCTCACGCTGTTCCGAAGCTCTGTTGGGACGTCTTGAGCGCGTTCTGTCGGGGGAGCGTTCCAGAAAAGTACTTCAATCTTCTTCGGGCCGTGTGGAAGGGTCATATACAGTGGAGGCCCATGCCAAGAAACACCCTGCTTGTCTCCAGGGTGCCCCGGGTTTTTTGGGTCTCGATGGTTTTGCTATGGAACGTGTGACGTCCCCACACCAAACATCAATGGACGTCCTGGGGTTCCAGGGTTGGGTTTCTTGTGGAAGGTTCCTTGTGATCGGGCCCCAACTGTAAGGCGATCTTCCTTCTTGGGGCCGTCTTTGCTTGGCTTGGGGCCTGGATTCGGCCGTCTCGGGGGGCGGCGGATCGTGGCAGTCCCAGGACCGTCTCGGGTAAGCGACGACGTTTTGTGGTCGTATCGGGGCCTCTCGGGGTCTGCTTGAGGGGATTTTCGGGGCCTCTCGGTCTTGTGTCTGGTGCCCTCTTGGGGCCGGTGAGGGCGACATGCAGAAAACGTTCGAACCACATTCTACTGTCACCACTGTTTCTGGCCTCTCAGCGGAGCCTCTTGGAGGGCCTTCTGCAAGTCTCGTGTGGCCTCTTGGGGGCATCGTGAATCTTCTCGTGCCCCGCTTGGGGCCTCCTTGGGAGCTGTCGGGCTCTGGAGCTTTCTGGCAGGAAGTGTCGTGGGAGTGCATCGGGTCGTCTGGAGGCGTCTTGGCTGGCCTTGGCCAGAAAGAGGGTGGGACGAACGGGGAGAGATGGGGGGGGTGCCATTGCTCGGGGCGCGACACGTCCAAGGGGAGGGGGGGCCGGCACAGGAGTCTGGAGCTCAGGGCTGAGCCTAAACGGTGCTTTTCGTTTTCGTTTTGTTTTCGTTTTCCCTCGTTTTGTCTTCAATCCGCCTTTACCGCAAACCGAAACCGAAACGAAAGCGGCCCACGAAATCGCCAAAACACCGTTTAGGTCCAGCCCTGCTGGAGCTCAAGAAGCCTGCCAGGCAGCCAAAGCAGATCATGGGTACTGACGCCCACGTGTGCCAAGGGCACGGTGTCGGATTCGGGTGAGGTGCCGCGCAGGGCACGGATTTGGGTGCTGTTCTCAGTGGTTCGTCGACGCCGTTCCGCGAGGTGCCGTGAGCGACCCCTCCGCGTCGGCGAGTGGAGGCCCCGCGAGGGCCGATTACGCTAGGCGTCTGTCCGCGCTGACGTGCAACTTGTTTCAACTGCCCGCTTGCGGGGCACCCTGCGGTTCTCCCCCGCCCCACCTCGCTCTACTCTTAAGTCGGGCCTGTCCCTCTACAGCGGGAATGTTCAAGAATAGTCCAACATTAGTCGGGGAACGATTCTTTGAGTATTTTGGGGCATCTTTTGAATATTTGGGGGATTTTTTTTGTTTTTCGCCCAAAATCCCCCTGTAGGGGGACAGGCCCGACCTTATGCTAGGCGTCTGTCCGTGCTGACGTGCAACTTGTTTTAACTGCCCGCTTGCGGGGTACCCTGCGGTTCTCCCCCGCCCCGCCTCGCTCTACTCTTAAGTCGGGCCTGTCCCTCTACAGCGGGAATGTTCAAGAATAGTCAAACAATAGTCGGGGGACGACTTGTTGACTATGTTTGAGCATTTGGGGGGTATGTTTTTGTTTTTGTATGGTTCGCCCAAAATCCCCCTGCAGGGGGACACGCCCGACTTAACTCTACTCGTCGCTGTTCTCTTCCGCATCGTTCTCCCGAGACAGGTTCGATGCAGGCCTGTGCGTCGTGAGTGTACAACGGGAAGCGCCTCTGGCGTGGATCGGTGTTAGTTGTCCCTCACTAGCGCGGTGGAGGGCTCGATGAAGCGCGCAAGTTTGGTCATACATGGAAGAAGCAGTGGGGGATGTAGTGCGTTCAGATAGATAGTAATGTGGCATGTTATCATATCGTTTGCATGCTTCTGGCTGAGATTGCAATTCGAGCATACGCGGGAGGACGCACAGGAGTGACCAGACGGCGATCAGCGCAAAGCCATAAAGCGCCTCAAGCGCCCAAGCCTGCATCGTGCCCAACGCCCCCCTTGTCTTCCGCCTCCCCTCCCCAATCCTCTTCCTCCTGTCTTATCGTTCCCGTCCCTCTCCCCGCCCGAGCCTCTTCTCTTAGCGACGTTACCAATCAATCATCATTGCTCTCGAAGAGCGTGCTCGTGGCACACTTCGCACTAAAGGGGGACCCCAGCTTGAAGCTACCCCCCACCTCCCTTGGACGAGGGGCCCTTCCGAAGAAACTTCCGAGCGGTGGAAAAAAGGAGGGATCGGGGGGGGCTTCCATCAGGGGAGGTCCAAAGGGGGGGGCAGTCAAGCGCCCCCCCCTCTTTGTGAAGGAGGTGGGGGGGTAGCTTCCAGAGCGCGAAGGAGGGGGAGGGGGGGGGAGCATTCGAGGGGCTGGAAGAAAGGATCGAAGGTGGATAGACCTCCTACCAGGACACGTCGATTAAGGAATGGGCCTTTTCGGTTCGCGAGAGGGCGTCGCGGCCGTCAGTTTTGCGGGTCCAGGTCCGTCGGTTTCGGTCCCAGTCCGTTTTCACTAAAGGTTGGTTTGTGAAAGAGAGGTTTGTCCTCCGCCGAAGGGAGATTGGGGGGGGGGCTTCCAGCAGGGAAGGTTCACGGGGGGAGAGGGAGCTAAGGGGGGACCTTCCACTCTGGGAGTGACCACGGGCGCGCTCTCTCATTCCTGTGCGCCCTTCCTTGGATGTTCGCTTTGGGGACATCCCTGGGGCCCACCCAACGGGTCCGCTCGATTTCGACGGATGTCCCCAGACAGAGCATTTACCCTCCTGTCTCCCTCCTCTTCACCGTCCTCCTTGCCTTTCGTGGGCGAAAGGCACATAGGTACCCGCGGCCTCGCGGGCGGGGTCCCTGGGCCGCGGTCCCGCGGAGACGGGGCACTTCTTCGCGGATGCCCCGCGCGGAACGTATTCGTGCGACCGCGTATCCGCTGGACCGCGCCCCGGGAATCTAGACCGACCGCGAGGGCGCGGGTAGGGATAATGTGCGCCGCTCGTGAGCGTGCTCGCCCCATCCTCGCGTGCCCGTTTGCGGGCCCACTCACTCCCCCCCGGGGGAGTGCCGGCCCCCGCCGTCGGGGCGCAAGAGACGGGGGTCAGTGCAGACGGGGGCCAGTCAGAGCGCCAGACCTTGAAGGATCCTGCAGAGCCAGGCTTGCATTGACCCAGTTTTTGGTGCAGGATCCTACAGGACCCTGCAGGATCTCGCAGGATCTGCCAACGCCCGACTGACCTGGGTGTGGATTGACCCCAGTCAGTAGACCCCCGACGTCGGCCAGACCCACCAGCCCCAGCCCGCGCCCTAAATGCGCGTTGGGTCCAGGGCCTCTGGCCCCACTGGGAGGACGCTTCGGGCGTTATGGCCAAGCGCCGCGTGCAGAGGGGAAGAGGAGAAAGGAGAAGGCAACAAAAAGTACCGAGCCCATGGTGCCTCCAGCCAGGACTGGAACTCCAGACGCAGGGCGGGGAGGGCGTCGGGCCGTGGTGGCCCCAGGGGGACTCGCCCCCCCCCGTCAGCACATCCTTCTCCCGAGACTCCAGAGCAGCTGCCCCCCACGGAGGAGGGCACGGGGAGGAGGGAGAAGGGATCAGTTCGGATGGTGATGCTGGTGATGAGAACGATGATGGAGTATGACGACGGTGCTTCTAGTGTGAATCAGGATGATGGGGATGGCGATGGTGATGTTGCTGGTGCTGTTTCTGATGCTGATGCTGATGCTGATGCTGGTGCTGGTGCTGATGCTGATGATGCTGCGGGTGATGGTGGTGGTGGGGATGGGGATGGTGATGAGGATGATGGTGGCCATGATGACGACGGAGATAATGGTGATGGTGGTAATGATAATGGTGAGTATGATGATGATGGTGATGATGACGGCGACGACGACGATGAAGATGATGATGATCGTGCTGGTGGTGATTAGTATGATGATGACGATGGTGATGATGGTGGTGGTGGTGAATGATGATGAGGAGGAGGAGGAGGACGACGACGAGGCGACGACGACGACGATTATGATTCTGATCGTGATGATCGTGATGGCGATGGTGACGGCGGTGGTGGTGAAGGGGAGGATGAGGAGGAGGGGGATGATCAGGTGGAGCAAGTGGGAGGGGCAGCATGGATGATGGATGAGAATGAGGAGGAGGGACGATGATTATGTGGATCGGGGGATGATAGCGAGTAGGACAGTAAGAGTCATGAGGGGGGGAAGGAGGAGGGCGTTGGAGGAATAATGGATGAGGAGGGGAAGCGGAGGATGAAGTGCAAACGCAAATTTCAGCAACGATACTGTAACGAGCCGTCCCTCCAAGATTCCTCTTCACAGGCCTCTCGAAGGGTTCATTTTCACTGAGGGACGGGCCCCGTTGGAAGACAACCGTTCGAACATCCAGAACTGCCATAACACCATGTTTTGGACTTCAACGTCTCGAATCACCGTTACTGCTGCGCCTTGACGACCCTGAACCGCGCCAGAATGCAATTCCTGGGACAACACCGCGAACTAAAGTTACTGCTGCTCCCTGAGATTTCGACGTCTGGCATGTTAAACATAATCGTATCTGAATGTGTTGTAAACTCTCAAGACGAGAGCCACATTTGAAAGGGAGCCGCCCTCCATCCGCTAATGTACTGCCACTTGTTGAGACGAACATGCGCGGCGCTAAGGCGAGAGCAACGTTAAAAAACCGGGTCGTCCTCCGTTCGTGAAGCGCTTGTAAGCTTTTTAGATAAAGTACACGGCGCTCAGGCGGGAACCACAATTGACATGGTCGGTCCACGAACCCGGAAAATAATATAGACATGTATAGACACCCGATTGGGCGACGGGCAAACGCAATGCTGAGTGTGTCGACGTTGATGTACCGTGCCGAGGGCTGTGCTGTGCAGCGCCGTGCTGAACTTCGATGTGTCATGCCGCGATTGTGCCCTATAGCGTTGTGGATCGAGTCCTCCTTTGCATCCGAGTCCTGACCGAACTGATCTGGATCTTAAGCTCGAGCTGCCTCAGCACATAGTAGCTGCCCCAGAGCTAATTGACAGGGGAACATGCCAGGAGTACGCGCCGCGGAACGTCCCAAGGGGCGCGCCAGGCGACGTGCCAGGGGACGTGCCACGAGGACGCACCGCGGGACGTGCCGAGGGGACGCGCTACAGAACGTGCCAATGGACGTGCCACGGGACGTGCCAGGGGACGCGCCGCGCGACGTGCCAGGGGGACTTACCACGGGACGCGCCACGGAACGTGCCAAGGAACGCGCCAGGTTGCAATGCTCAGTGTATCGATCTTGATGTACCGTGCCGAGGGCTGTGCAGTGTTGCGCCGTGCTGAACTTCGATGTGCCATGCCACGATTGTGCCCTATAGCGTTGTGGATCGAGTCCTCCTTTGCATCCGAGTCCTGACCGAACTGATCTGGATCTTAAGTTCGAGCTGCCTCAGCACATCGTAGCTGCCCCAGAGCTGCCTCAGCACATAGTAGCTGCCCCAGAGCTAATTGACAGTGGAACGTGCCAGGAGGACGCGCCGCGGAACGTCCCAAGGGGCGCGCCAGGCGACGTGCCAGGGGACGTGCCATGGGAACGCTCCGCGGGACGTGCCGAGGGGACGCGCTACGGAACGTGCCAATGGACGTGCCACGGGACGTGCCAGGGGACGCGTCGCGCGACGTGCCAGGGGGACTTGCCACGGGACGCGCCACGGAACGTGCCAAGGAACGCGCCAGGTTGCAATGTTCAGTCTATCGATCTTGATGTACCGTGCCGAGGGCTGTGCAGTGCTGCGCCGTGCTGAACTTCGATGTGTCATGCCGCGACTGTGCCCTTATAGCGTTGTGGATCGAGTCCTCCTTTGCATCCGAGTCCTGACCGAACTGATCTGGATCTTAAGCTCGAGCTGCCTCAGCACATCGTAGCTGCCCCTGAGCTGGACATGCCAGCAGGACGCGCCGCGGAACGTCCCAAAGGTACGCGCCAGGCGACGTGCCATGGGACGTGCCATGGGGACGCGCCGCGGGACGTGCCGAGGGGACACGCTACAGAACGTGCTGGGGACAAGCGTTGTGCTGGTGGCCTGGACACTACAAACACGTGGTGTCAG